TGCAGCAGCAACATTCGTTCCTCCTGACCTGTGTAGGACATTACGCACCGGAGCACAGGTAAACAACATGTTAATGGGTTATTTTTAGTCATAAAATTATTTATTGTTATATTTGTTTACATTAAAATAAATCTGGAAACAAATCTAACTGGCATTATGTTGTTACAGGACGAGCTGTTGCCTGTGGTGACATGTCCATCTGTAGAGCTCAGTGATGATGATGAAGAAGATAACAATCCAGAGGCCGATGATGGATCACATCAGGATTTAGGTCCCACACTTAGTTTCAGTGCACCTGAAGCACTTCTCAGACTGCCCAACGCCCACCCTCTCCGGATCTTTGTATGTTTTTTGAGCCACCTATCATTTTCTGCTGCCTATACTATGAAAAAAAAATCATATTTGTTATCATTAGCTTAAAGTAGAATCATTAAACAACCTTTTCATTACCTGAAATAATAAATTAAAATTACATTAAAATAAAACTTATTTTATTTTATTTCCGCTAGTTGCCAAAGCAGCATTTCTCAATTTCATTTAGTTTCACTTGTACTAAGATAAATGAAACTGGTAACACTTTACAATAAGGTTTCATTTATTAACATTAGTTACATTAGTTAACATGAACTAACAATGATCAATAGTTCTACAGCATTTATTAATATTAGTTCATGTTAATAATTTCAACGTTTACCAATACATTTTTAAAATTCAAAGTTGTATTTGTTAACATTACCGGTAGTTAATTTATTCTGAACTAATATGAACAAACGATAAACAATTAGATTTTTACCAACAAACGTTAACAAAGATTAATAAATGCTTTAAAAAATATATTGCTCATTGTTAGTTCATGTTAGTTTTAGTACATTAGTATTTACTAATGTTAACAAGTGAGACCTTATTGTAAAGTGTTACAATGTAACTGAATGAAATAAATTATGAAATACTATAAACTCTCTCTCTCTCTCTCTCTCTCTATATATATATATATATATTATTATTATTTTTTTAAATCCTGATAAAATGACAAAAACACAACAAAATTACTATAAATTATAATTATGCATTAATGATACTAAAATTACACTGGATAAAGTAGTACAAACAGTCGGTTCTGCTTTTGTATTTTTTTTTTACGTCTGAAGTTTTGAATGATTTAATTCTGACATATCATAGACATGTTTGAACATGGCTCAGTCTTACATTGTTTGAATTAATATGATCTTTTTAAATTTTATTTAGAATCCTGCACCACGCGTTTATGCCTTCAAACCAGCTCCACTTTACCTGGAGTGTGACCTGGACTTTCATTTGTGTCCATTGCCACGATACACTGTCCCTAAAGACAATGTCGTGGGTGTGCATGCCCCTCAAACACAGAAGAAGTTTCTAGATAGAAAGGTTTGTTGAGACTTATTTTTGCACATCGTTCACAAAGAGCAAACTCTCAATCAATGTGGCTTTAATAAAATAAGTTTTAAGTTTTATATCATAGCTGGTACTATATTACTGTCTGAAACGATCATTATCCAGGACAAAATTATTATATTTAATATATATATTTATTATGTTTTATAATATTTAATTTAATGTTATTACTAAATATACATTCCATCCTGTAAACATTTGCTTAAATATATCAAATGCAGGATATAATCAAAGGGATTATGATGTGGAAGAAGTTTCCCTGTATGGCCTTAAGCTCTTTATCCAATATTTCGACTCTAAGAAGCGACTGCGCCCCACGCATGTAAGTATTGCACGCACTCATAAACACATTCATTTGTTGGCTTACCTCTTATTTACAGAAACAATATTGTTTTATATCTAGGTGTGACCCTTTCAGCGTTGTACTACTGCCTGTGGAGGCCCCTCCAGCTCTTCAGGGTCTGCCCAACAGCATCAGAGACGAGATTCAAGCTGAAGGGTAAATATAGATTAACGTCAGCTTGAATAAACCCTCCATTGTTAATTGTTTGGGACGCCATTTACAGATGCATGCTGGTTTGATTTCTCTGGCAGGTCTGAGACCTCAGATCTTCGTCTCACTCCTGAGATGATTGAAGCAGAGTTCGGTCTGTCTGCGAGATCTTCAGCTACATCTGTTAAAGAGGATCAAGATGAAGGCAATGGGTTGGTACAATGGGTTATCAAATTTAACATTTTGGGTAATTGAGAATTTGCTAATTGTCTTGTGCTTTATCATGCCCAGCATCATAATATGCCTACTTCCATACTATATGGTTGGCGAAAAACAGTATGTGAGCAAAATAGTTTGTCTGAATTCATAGTATTCATAAAACAGAAGCTGAAAAGTACCCAGATGCACATCCACTGGACTCTTTAATATCCCATGAGGCAACGGGAGGATTTATGAATAGTAGTGAAGCGATGGAACAGACGCTGTAGGTCACATGATAGTGACAACATGGCGAATTTAATTCATACTACACATTCATACTATATAGAATGCACTTTTTTAATGGTCACGAAGGAAGTTTCAAACCAAATGTAGTACCTACTAGACTGCGATTTCTGTCATTTTGAGGTTGACATATGGTTGAATAGAAACATAACCTAAATCTTCTCTGTCTGCAAGTCTCAGAACTCCAATAGCACCAGTCTCCTCTGCAAGAACAACAACAAGGTGAGCACCTTGTCATAATCCTCATTTTGACACGGTAATCGGAGAAGTAAAAGCTATAAAACATCAATTCACAAAACAAAAAGGCAGTTTTTGTTTGTTCTAGCATGTAGGGGAAGTTGATTCCACCATCTGAGCATGAGAACAGCAAATGATTTGCTTTGTTGTGCAGGTTACAAAATGAAGATGACATGCGATAAACTTTCTTCCTCTTTAATTTTTGGATCACAGCAACACACGCGAGCAGCCGCCGGAGTCAACACAGAACAACAGACTGGGACCAAAAGTGCTGGGGAGATTAAAAGAATTGAAATCTACAGGCAGAGTCAGCTGTGCCTCATCATGTGACAATAAATAGCACTTTCATCTTCAAAAGAAAGGGAAACGGACAGTGAAATGCAGTGCTAGCTCAGGTAAACGTGAAGATTTTAGCAAAATACAATGACAAGCCACCAGATGGCATTAAATGTCTATCACATAAAACTCAACAACTAAAAAGATGTCATGGTCAATGTTTGTATGGAATCTCTTTTTTTCACAAGTTCAATTAAATATATTTTCTAAACTTATTTCCTTTATCATTCAATACGCATTCTAGTAAACCTAAACTACAGAAAAACACTTCATCAGTCAGGGGTGTCGTTTTAAACGGTAGATTTACATGCATATGTAGAAACAACTCATATGAGCACATATGAAACAAATCAGACATAGTACCAATTTTTTTGACAAGTTACCATATATAACAGCAGTCCTCTATTTGACATGAATTCCAAGTCCGTGCAAAGTATATTTTTTATTTGAATAAATTGACATAACGTTACTATATATATATATATATATGACTAATAAACTAAAAAAAGTCAATTGCTTTTTGGCAAGTCACTATATATATATATATGACTAATAAACTAAAAAGTAAATTGCTTTTTGGCAAGTCACCTTTCTTTAATTGCAGCAATCCACGATTTTTTGTGAATTCCAAGTTCGTGCAAAATATATTTTTTATTTTAATAAATTTTACATCATGTCATTTTTTAAAATCTTAAAATCGTATTTTTATGTGGAAAAAAATATGTATGGTCTTTTACTTATAGACCGCAATGCATGTTTTTGGCAGATATTTTCACTAACATGACAACTTAATCCAGCATTTCCAGCGATTCAGTGAGACATTGATTATTAGGAAGAGAGTGATCACGAGGCTTTACAAGCTTCTGTTTTACACGGTCTGGTTTGCACCCAAGCAAACGCCAGCCTGGATCTATTCTGTCTGACAGTCTCTCATCCACAACAGTTTTGCTGCACTGCTCTCACCTCCACATTCACCTCACAATAGCGAAACGCTGCTTGGTTCCTGTCCCTGAGGACACTGCAGTTAGCACCCTGTATTGCATGAAGTTAATGGTAGTTGACACCCAACAACTGTCACGTCATTTGCATTACAAGCAGTTTTTGTAATAATAATTGTGATCATTCTCAGCTGCTTTCCATAGTCAATATCTCTCAAAAATGTATCTATAAAAAAAACACGATTAAATGCATGAAAACGTTTGAAATAAGTCATTGAATGCCTCAGTACATAACAAAAATATATTTTTGTTGTATTCAAAAAACAAAACAAACAATAATCGTAAAAAACTATGCAGAGACGCTGACACCTAATTTCATTTTACATTTCAGTCTATGTTTTCCTCTCAGGAGTCAAAACTGCACCGTTTGCATTTCCAACACAGCTCCTTAACTAGCCTTTAATGTTTGGTAGATCTAATTGTTGGTCTACCGTTCCCAATGGACAACACGCACTGAAGTCATAGATTGTCACATTAAGGGCAAGTCTGAACAGGATTATGCCCACAACAACTGCACAGTTTGATTATTTGCATTAATTGTTGATGGAAAAAAAATCTCTCGAACAGACCAATAAATCCACAGTGGACACGAAACGTTAGGAAAATTTCTAAAATATTTTTATTTATTACAGAACATATACAACAATTTACAATTAGCTGAATGAAAATAGAATATACATACAAGAACAGAACATGATGGACTAAAATGGGGAACCCTCCATTTTATTCTCATGTAAAAAAATAAAACCCCTCGATTTTATCACATTACAGGATGTTCTGCTTTGGTATTTATGCTCGCTTGGTAAAAGCAAAGCTTTGTTATAGTAGATAAGAGCAAGGCTTGGGAACAATTCCTGAGAACTTGTTTGAAATTTAAACTGCATCAAAAGTTCAAAACTGAAAGATATTGTGCATATTTACTAATGCTGGTTAAAAACCACTTACAGCATGACATCTCACAGAGAGTATAGCTGCACAAAACCCCCCTTAAAATTCACAGTTCTACCATTTCAGGCATCACACTACCTGATATTCAGATACTGCAATCCTTCATAGCAACAGCATCAGGAACCAAAATCACCAAAAACAGAAGATGATCTTGGTGCATTGTTGTCCAAAATGACTTCTTAAGACGATCCAGCTTTAGTGAGGCTAAAACAGTCTGATCTGTCATTGTTTACGCGCCTTTACAAATTAGGTTTAGGTCTTGTGAAATGCCAAATCTCTCGTCTATAAATAGTACATGTTGCTGCTGTGCTATTTTGAGATCCACCAATTCCTCTCAAATGATGCCAAATTTCTCTATATGGGTAAATGTGTAATCCATGTTCCTGAGACATACTGTGAATTCAGTCTATTTCAGCATAGAACTATTTGTCCTTCTTATCCTCCACGACCTCGGATAAATCCTCCTCCCTAAGAGTCTTCACTCGGGCCTCCATGTTGGTGATCCTCTGTTTGATCTTTGTCTGGCTGGCTGTCCAATCTGCCATAAGACGAGCGAATTTAGTCTGCATCACGTCTAAATTTGTCTCCAGCGTGGAGACCTTTTCCTCCAGGTCCTTTGGGTCAGCGCCAGCATTGGCTGCAGCCTCATCGATAAGATTGTCTTTCATCAGAATAGCCCTACCTTTCTCCTCTAAAGCCTTCTTTGCTTCTGGGTACTCGGTTAATGCTTCCATCAAGTCATCTTTCGAGAGTGCGAACAGATCCGAGTACCCCACGCTACGTATGTTAGCAGTCCTGCGGTTTCCGGCCTTACTTCCTTTGATGCCGAGGATGCTGATCTCGCCAAAGTAAGCGCCATCACCGAGCACCACAAACTGCGTAACTCCATCATCCGCCACCACAGCTAGTTTGCCTTCTTTGATAATGTACATCTCCCGCCCGATGTCGCCCTTCTTGCAGATGTAGTCGCCAGGACTGAAAACCTGCGGTTGAAGTTTGAGGACAAGCTCAACTAGAAGCCCTGCCTCGCAGTCCTGGAAGATACGCACCTTCCGAAGGGTTTCCAGATGCACGTTGATGGCGATCTCCGCCTTGAGTTTGTCTGGGAGGTTCTTGAGCACTTCCTTCTCATCGCAGGTCTTCTGTTCCGTCCAAAGGTAGTCAAACCACTTCACGACACGGGCCTCCAGATCTTTGGTGACCTTTCGGAACTGCATGTACTGCTTGATGGAGTCAATCTTGGCCTGGAACTCTGCACGGGATGCATTCATGTTGGAAATCATGGCACCGACGTTACCAACGATGGTGGCGAAAATGAGCACGCCGATGAGAAAATCAGAAACGACAAATAAATACTCAATGTCTCGGACAGGCGGTGGCGTCTCCCCGATTGTAGTGAGCGTGAGAGTGGACCAGTACAAGCAGTAGATGTACTTCCTGGCAAGACGGCCAAACTCAGGGTCACTGATGTTGGGATACACCCAAGTGTCTGATCCAAAGCCGATTGTTTTTGAGATGGCGAAAAAGATGCAGCCGTTCCAGTGGATGATGATAAGGATGTACAGGACGAGATTGCTGATGCGAAAGATGTTGGGGAAGTTGGTTCTGGTTTCAGTGCGATCGAAGAACTCAAACAGACGAGCCATTTTGAAAAGCCGGTTAAATCTTAGTTCGGGGTTGTTGTATCCCACTTTCAGCATTATTATGTCTGTCGGTATCATGGAGAACACATCATATCTGAATTGCGGTGACTTTTTATAGTGTTCCCACAGCTTCTTAGATTCTCTCACCAGCAAGCCTTGCTCCAAGAAACCTGTGAAAACAATTACAACAAGTTACATACAATGTTTTTTAGGGATACACGATATATCGGTATCGGCCCGATATATGTTCAGTTTTAATGTCATCGTTAATATATCGGCCAAACACCTTGTTGTTAATATATCGGCCAAATTTTCTTATTTGGCCGATATATTAAAGCCGATAAATAGATTATTTTCTTTCAGTTGAGACACTTCAGATGCGCACTGTTCGCTTCGCCATGATGGTTTTTAATTGCTTGAAATATGACTGGAATCACTTAAAAAAAGGAAAATACAGTTAAGTATACATAAAGTGCATTAAGTCATATAGGCTACATAAAATTGTAATGAGAACATTATAATAATACTTGTGTGCTTGGGACATGGCTTTTAATGGTTAGACTTTTGTTTTTGTCAGGCACACAAAAATTGGATTTAGATTTATCTGCCAATATATCGGCTATCGGCTTTCAAATATAAAGAATTATCGGGTATCTGCCTAAATGTTCATATCGGTGCATCCCTATTGTTTATAGGATGTTATTTTTAGCACTGACAACTTCTTTCCCCGTAGAGCAGTGATTTCAGAAGTTATGTTCTGTAGTCTAGAATTGTAGAACAATGGTAATAATAATAATAACAATAGTTTTTGAATGAAAATTAAAATTAATACAGTATGATTTCAGTTTACATCTTGATTTTGAGTTCTCTGTAGTATTTGAATTTATAAATAATCAATTCTAAATAATGTAATAAAATGATCTAATTGAAATATTTTTAAGTCAGCCTGCAGCCCCTTTAGCAGTTTGCTGAACCACTGCTTTAGATGGATTTTTAGTTCATTCACTCGACTGTTATAGTTAAATATGACAAAGTGAACACAAACAGAGAAAATTAGAAGAATAATCTCACCTGTCCTTGATCTCACAAATGTGTCAAGATAGTAGATGATATCTGATGAATAGTCCAGAACTAACCATAGGATTGTGTTATCATCCTGCAGCTCATTAAAACAGGATCTGAAACCCCCCCCCAGATCAGAACAGACCGAAGTTAGCATTACATTAGAGCTATCACCACATAACAGCACCTGAATATTCTTTGAAGTACTAAATATTATTATATCTGGCTTGCTTAGTTGGGGACACTTAATATTCAACAAAATGACTGATTTGACTGCACTGACACTATTGGATGAGAACTGAACTGAGCTGGACGATGACATCACTGTTTTCTGCAGAACTGCTTTATAAATTAAATGAACTAATTTAACAATTGATGATCTTTACAACGGAAATGAATCGACACTGAACTGACTTCAGCTGAGCAATGACAACGTTTTCTTTTAGAGCTGCATTACAGCCGAAATTAACTGAACTGAAATGAACATTTTCCTGTTAACACTGTAAAAAGCTGCTTTGAAACAATCTGTATTGTATAAAGCGCTATGTAAATAAAGGTGACTTGGCTTGATATATTTCACCATATAGTTTTCTTGTATGTTTGATAATTAGCTGTGATATCCCTATTATTTTAAATAATATTTTAATATATTTTAATAATTAGCATGCAATATCATGGAACTTTTAATAAAATTACCTGGTAATAAGCATCATTAGGTTGTAGAAGACAGGTATTGCAACAATGGTTAGCCAGTGGTAGTACAAATCTGTCGCTGGGTCCATTATCCATACATGTTTTCTAAAAAGAAATGTATACAAAGTTCAGGACTGAACAAAGACCTCCGTTTAATTGCATTTAATTGAGATAAAATACTCACGGTTTCTCCTCTTCCTTCTTTTTGTCATCCTTTTTGTCATCTTTCTTTTCATCTTTTTTCTCATCCTTTTTTGGTTCTTCTTTCTTCTCATCTTTCTTTTCATCTTTCTTCTCATCCTTTTTGGGTTCTTCTTTCTTCTCATCTTTCTTTATCTCCCTGTCGTCCTTTTTGCTGCATTCAAACGATGAATGATATTTAGTATGTAGCAATTAGCATAATGTACTTAAGCACAACATGTAATAATATTTAACTTTCCCACATACTCATCTGTATTGTTGCAGTTGTTCATATTCAGTGTTGCAAGAGGCCAATGATTTGCATTGTTGTTGAAGCTGTAAAGACAACAATATCGTAAATAGTCTTATTCCTGTAATTTGATTAGGGAATAAAATATGAAATACTAAAACATTATGAAACATGCACTTCATAATCAAAAACTACATTGAATCTACATTGGATTTACAATTGGATTTAAATGGATCTGCTAAATGGATTCAAATGGAGTTAAATGGAGCTGAGAGTACTACATTGTTTTGGTAGTAGAAAGCATTATCAAATTATTCTACATATTTAATAAATCACGCAAGGGGAGAGAGATGTGAAGAAGTTGTGAATGATGCATTTTTGAATTCTGTGTTAATCTTCTGTGGAGTTCTGCATTGTCAGATTGTGGGCCTACAGAATGTGGGAATGCTTATAGCTCTAATGCATTTCATTCTGTTAAATGTGAGCAAATAAGTAGCAGTATCTTCCACTAGACTAGCAGTATGACCAGGACCATCATCAGGAAGGGTTGTGGTTCGAATACCAGGACCGAAGAAAGTGAGAGTGTGACAGATAGCAGAGGATTATGGTTACCATCAGCACATCCTCTCTTGCTGTCTTGAGAAACACACTTAATCTCGCCATAGATCAAGAGACATTACATTAGGACTGATTATGTTTCCTCTCAAAGTATTTTTTTTGCACAATTAGTTTGTTGGAAATGCGGAAGTTCACACCTTCTGCAGAAAAGAAAAAATATATATATGGCAGCAGCTTTTCACAAATTGCAATAAGTGCATATAGCGACAGATGCTATTTACATTAAAGGAGAACTCCGGTGCAAAATGAACCTCGGGTGTAATAACACATTGGTACAGACTAAATCGTTCCCTGAGATTAGTTTTCATGATAATCGAATGTAAAGAGTTTTATCTCTAAAAACAGTTTAGCTTATAACGCTAGTATATTGGGCATCGAGTAAGCAAAAAGAGATCGCTAGTTAATACCACTAACAAGGCTCAAATTAGCCCCACACTAACACGGCAGCATAATGAGTGTCCTTACATGCAAACCGAAGCATTGAGAACTTTGTAAGTGTATAGACAGTTTAATAAGAAGATACTTTACACAGACAGTACAGTTAGCGCATACAGACAGGAGCCATCTTGGAAAACAGTCTCGACCAATCGAACCACGAGGGTGAGCGAACAGTACGTGTAGATATTGAAGATAAGATAAATTATATTTATTTTTTTATTTTCTCTGTTGCGTTAAGTGCTTCTCTTATGCGCTCAGTGCTTTCTTCCGGAAACAACGGACTATATGAGATTCCAAGTCACAGTTCAGCTCACGTATCACGTGTTCGTGGTTTGACTGATCGAGACTGTTTTCCAAGATGGCTCCTGTCTGTATGCGCTAACTGTACTGTCTGTGTAAAGTATCTTCTTATTAAACTGTCTATACACTTACAAAGTTCTCAATGCTTCGGTTTGCATGTAAGGACCCTCATTATGCTGCCGTGTTAGTGTGGGGCTAATTTGAGCCTTGTTGGTGGTATTAACTAGCGATCTCTTTTTGCTTACTCTATGCCAATATACTAGCGTTATAAGCTAAACTGTTTTTAGAGATAAAACTCTTTACATTCGATTATCATGAAAACAAATCTCAGGGAACGATTTAGTCTGTACCAATGTGTTATTACACCCGAGGTTCATTTTGCGCCGGAGTTCTCCTTTAAGTGTCAAACAGTGTATTGTAGAATATTATAAAACAGATAACAATATATTCAGTGTTTATGATTAATAAAATCTAAAATGGATGCTGCCTTCTTGGAGCATTACTTGTCCCTGTCCCTAAAGCCCTCCCCTCCCCTACCCGATAAACACTTTATTCCCACTGTTCGAATATCCTCATACTTTTATATTACTACTATTAATACTTTTTATTTAAAAGAATTGCTTTTCCGAGCTGGTATGCGATGCTAAAATATAAAAGAACAAGTTCGGAAAAAGACAATCGAATTCGTGTCGGTCGCGTCAAAAGGTAACACCACCCGCCTAAAGGCCGGGACAAACCAAGCGGACGTCGGGCCGTTTTTGAACGTCGGTCGGCTAAGTATTTTCTGTGTGTTCCGCACCGTTGGCTCTAGTAGTCAGACGCAGTCAGGTTTTTTTTGGTACGATTCAGCATGTTGAATCGGTGTCGGGCCGTCGGTGAGAAAGAGAACTCTGATTGGCTGTTCAGCTTAGCTTAAATACAGGTGTAAACGGGGTCTAAAAGTTTTGAGCTTGCAGAGGGAGTTGAAAATGCATTTGACCGGATTGCTTTCGTAGTGTAAACGCTCATGTGGTTGAAAAATTATGGGAAGCGCGCTAGCCAGATGGGATTTAAACTTTGTCGCCTGGAGACCCAAGTTTAGTTTGAAGACGAAAAACGTACCAGTTCAATGTTCTCTCACCATTCCTGATTTCTAACACGCACCCACCGCGTTCTGCGTTCTATCAGAGCAGAAACGAAAGCTGCTGCTCCCCGTATTTTCTTCCGTCGTTTCCTTTGCATTCATATGTATATTGCGCAAGCTTATTTTGTCCATTAGTTTGAAAGATCTGAAAAAACACCCATACATTTACCCGCCCATAGACCCTCACTTTGAAGAAATCAGGACAGAAGTGGTTGAAAGTGGACAAAAGAGACAGATTAAAATACCAGGTGTAAATGGGAATGGGTCTCCTTCGTCTACTTGTGATCCGATCGACCAAAACACATCTTAATACCAGGTGTAAACAGGGCTTTTGACGTCGGCTCGGTGTGTTCCAGGCTTTTCTTGCTACGCCACTGATCCTGTTATCAGCAGGATTTCTTTTGTCATTTTGTAGGGCTCAATCAGACAATGGTGGGCGGAGTTAGTGTAAATAGGATCTGCCAGCAAGGCAGACTATTTGCACTTGGTGTAAATAAACACTCCGATATAATACTCTATAAAATCACTAACTTTATAAAATCAGAATTGTGAGATAATAACCTTGCAATTCTGAGATTAAAAAAAGTCGTGGTGGAAGTTTCCATAAAAATGCACGGTGAGTACTTTATTTCCAATTTAGTTTTTAACTTTACCATTGTGTACAAATATTTTTTGGAGGCCACCGTGCACACGGTTGCATTTTCACTCACTTCCTCCTGTGCAGTTGGTCCTGTCCTCTGTCATCCCATGATGCATCCTTTTGCATGTCACCAGAATCGCTGCATTCAGAAGCTTTACATTTGGTAGACCTTCCTCCAAACCTCGGAATGAACTGGCACATCCTGAAAGTGAAGGTACAGTGTCTTATTAAAATCACTTATGATGCACAAACAATTCACAAATCTCCAACAGAGCAAAAGATCAAATTACCTGCCCATTAGTCCACGGGGTGGCTGATCGCTGCAAAAGACACAGATATACAACAAATAAAATATAAGGACTTGCATGATTTCATTGAATGAAAGAATTGTTCTAGATGCAAAATAATGATTGATTTGTCTGTGTATGTCTGCGGTATATCCTCAGACCTTTCTCCTCTCTCGATCCATTCAATAGCGGGCTCAGGAGTGAAGGCAGATCTTTGTGAGGGGTATGACTGTTCTGTGCAGATTTTAGCCATTTTCTTTCCTGTTAGGCCATTCACTGCAATCGGATCACATCTGGAGCATTTGTGAAATCACTCCTGTAAATTGAAATGCACTTCCATTAGTGAACACACTTCCACCTAATCCATTTCACATAAACAGTCTTCAAATTCATGAATAAATAGTATTACAGCTAATTTTAGTAGGGTTGAAGTGATGCATTTTCACATTGCAACACTTTGACAATTTTTGTCCCAAAAAGATTAAAAATAAATCTTTGTTCTATTTTAAGAATGGACAGAAGGATAATGGATCCTATATACATGCTAAACAGGTGCAAGTGTCTGCTCTATAAATACACACTGCAGCTTAAATGCCAAGTGGGATCAGGAGCATCTTCCAGGAAGATTAGCTGTTTTAAGACAAAAAAAGAGCCTGTGGTTTTGAACAGAAGATGTCTGATTGAGACAGGGAGGTAAAAATGCTAAAACTGGGGATTCCTTTAGCCAAACATGCTAGGATCAAACCTGCAAGTGCTCAAACTTGAAAAAAAAGTCAAACAAGTATATACCTCTGAATATGTATTTGCAATGTAGCTATTCTGATAAAAAAAAAGCCTTTTTATTTTTCTAATTTTACATCTCCCAATTCTGACTTTTTCTCACAATTGAGTTGTGAGATTATATCTAGCATTTCATTTGTGACTTTATTTCTCGAAACTGCAAGTTTATATCTCGCAATTATGACATTTCTCACTTGAGTTTTGCGAGTTATAAAGTCCCAATTCTGAGGATAAAATGTCAGCTCACAATTCTGACATTTTACCTTTTTGTTCTTATTTAATTTGTTTATAACAAGCCATTGTGATTTATAAAGGCGGAATTGTGAGATATAAAGTCAGAAATACCAGATAACTCGTAAATCTGATGGAGAAAAAAAGAATCGCGAGATAAACTCGAATTTATAACATGATTTTTTATTTATATATATATATATATTATTATTATTACTTTATAACTCAAAGTTAGTAATAAAAAATTCAGAATTGTGAGATAAAAAGTACTACACTTTTTATTATTGGCGGTAAACTTCCATAGCCTAATCGATCGGCTACAGCTCCACTCCTTTTTTGAATAAAACGGTGCTTTATTCGCAAATGTTTTATAGGCTACGACATTCCGTTATTGTATATAGGCTAAGTTAAATTCGAAACTTTTGATGGAAATATAAATAGTGAAACACATCCCATGTGTTGTTATAGGATATCTTTTCATATCAGCGCTTTTGGAATTCCGCTTGACCAATCAAATTCGAGGACCGAAACTACTAGAACAGACAAACAAACAACAGGCTATATAAAGGAAATTGTTGAAACAATGTGTTTGCCAATTCAAGCAATTGAGTAGCCTAACTGTTAAAAAATACTACAACAAAATCACACTCATTTTTGCCCAAGTTGCTTTACCTGTAGCATTTGATGAAACTGCGTGACCCCCCGAAGAAAATTAATCCACACTTTCTTCTTCACATCAGCGAAATCCTATTCCACATGTCCTTCAGGTTCAGAGATGTTCACATGATTTGATCTTCACTGCGAAAAGAAAACTCAAAGGCTGTGTCCTGTGACCTGTCGAACTCAAAGCGCAAAGCTCTCTCGGGTGGATGATGCTGGCACGTGTCTTGCTCTGCCTCGCGCGCACCTGCCAAGAAAGGTGACAGTTTAAAACTGCGCTCGCGCAGGACATCCAACTCCTCCTCCCCACAACACAACACACCTGACGAGTTATAACACTGAGAGGATGCCAAGACTTTAGAGTCCAAAACACCCGAGTCTTAGAACAGAGTGTGAGTAAATAACTATCATGTTTGCACAGCATTATGATCATTTGGAACCAAAACCTAATGGTATGAAATTAGAATCCTCTGTGAGTCAAATGAGATCTTATATAAACAGTATAAACTGATTCTTAGGGTAATTTGCATATTGTATAATATTTATCTGAACATTACTTGCTGTTTTGGAATAAATGTAAAGGCAATATAAAAATGAAAAGGAAAAAAACACTTCAAATTCCTTCTGATGCTTGGTATACCTGCAGTTTATCATAGCCTATTGCTAATCATAACGGTCCTGTTGGGAACTTTATAAAAGATTTACATTTGTTTTTTGTGCTAGAAAATATTCTCACAAAGCTGACAAATATAAGCCTATTATTTTATAAAGAGTTCAGATTATATTGATTAGCTACTCACCACCAGCATCAACATAAATAATCATTCCAATATTTGTGTATGTATTAAATTGTTTCAGTTTTTAATTTATTTTAGTGTAACTAGTCATTATGAATGCTTGTCATCTTCCAGGGTGATCGATATTGTGCCAAGGTAAACCAGTTAGTTGAATGTGTTGAATAATTTAAGAGTTTATTATGCCAACTCGGCTTCAGTTAATGGACTTGTTGCTGTAGGGTCACTGGCCCGTCACAAAGGGTGGCTTGCTTTCAGTTACAGTAGCAAGGGAGTCCATGATGTAGGTTAACAAATTATTATTTTTTGTCTGTGTATTTTGCTGTTTAATCATCTTACAATGATGGCAAAACATAATACAATATAGCTTATGCTCTTTTGCCACCTTTAACCTTTGTTAACGCTTTCTACACTCTCCTCAAAGTGAGTCTTAATGGCTTGTGCCATAAACCTGTAAGCATTCCCCTAGGAAACCTCACACACGACTGCTTTACCACGGAAAGATCAAGTCCTGACCAATCCTGGGAATCTGCTTGGTTTAGGCAGGCTGTTGAACAGAAGTCATAATCTGGCTTTACCCACTAATGCTCTTTCTTGGATCCAGTGTTAAGAAGCTGTCAGACAGAGTTGAAGAGAGACATCTATCTATCTATCTATCTATCTATCTATCTATCTATCTATCTATCTATCTATCTATCTATCTATCTATCTATCTATCTATCTATCTATCTATCTATCTATCTATCTATCTATCTATCTATCTATCTGTCTGTCTGTCTGTCTGTCTGTCTGTCTATCTATCTATCTGTCTGTCTGTCTGTCTGTCTGTCTGTCGTGTCTATCTATCTATCTATCTATCTATCTATCTATCTATCTATCTATCTATCTATCTATCTATCTATCTATCTGTCTGTCTGTCTGTCTGTCGTGTCTATCTATCTATCGTCTATCTGTCTGTCTGTCTGTCTGTCTATCTGTCTGTCTGTCTATCTATCTATCTATCTATCTATCTATCGTCTATCTGTCTGTCTGTCTGTCTGTCTGTCTGTCTGTCTGTCTGTCTATCTATCTATCTATCTATCTATCTATCTATCTATCTATCTGTCTGTCTGTCTGTCTGTCTGTCGTATCTATCTATCTGTCTGTCTGTCTGTCTGTCGTGTCTATCTATCTATCGTCTATCTGTCTGTCTGTCTGTCTGTCTGTCTGTCTGTCTATCTATCTATCTATCTATCTATCTATCTATCTATCTATCTGTCTGTCTGTCTGTCTGTCTGTCTGTGGTGTCTGTCTGTCTATCTATCTATCTATCTATCTGTCTGTCTGTCTGTCTGTCTGTCGTGTCTATCTATCTATCTATCTATCTATCTATCTATCTGTCTGTCTGTCTGTCTGTCTGTCTGTCTGTCTGTCGTGTCTATCTATCTATCGTCTATCTATCTGTCTGTCTGTCTGTCTGTCTGTCTGTCTGTCTGTCTATCTGTCTGTCTGTCTGTCTGTCTGTCTGTCTGTCTGTCTATCGTCTATCTGTCTGTCTGTCTATCTATCTATCTATCTATCTATCTATCTATCTATCTATCTATCTATCTATCTATCGTCTATCTATCTGTCTGTCTGTCTATCTGTCTCTCTGTCTGTCTGTCTGTCTATCTGTCTGTCTGTCTGTCTGTCTGTCTATCTGTCTGTCTGTCTGTCTGTCTGTCTATCTGTCTGTATGTCTGTCTATCTGTCTGTCTGTCTGTCTGTCTGTCTATCTGTCTGTCTGTCTGTCTGTCTATCTGTCTGTCTGTCTGTCTGTCTGTCTGTCTGTCTATCTATCTATCTATCTATATGTGTATAGTTTTCATAACATTAGACAGTAAATGCATTACAGAACAAAAACAATTGTTTTCTCTATTTTTTTTATTCAGATTTTTTTTTTTTTTTTTACATATTGTGAAAACATAAATATCTAATCATTATGGTGATATTAAGACATGCACGTGGCATATGGTTTCACAAAGCTGTTAATTTGTTATTTATCTCAGCCAGATCATTTTCTAAATTATGCCAACTTTAATCTAATTTTAATTTTGTTATATGTATTTTTGTGAGGTTCATAATCGCTCAACATTGAACTGTCCAATTAAATCGAACTAATTTGCTTTTTTCAGACTGTTGTAGCTAATGTCTCAGTAAATCTGTGTTATAGCTATCTGTCTTGTTGAATGTTGTGATTATCATTATTTCAGATCTTTACTCATCAGTGAAAATGGCTGATTTGTTGTGACCCCCAGTGTGATTTTTGCTGCTTATTACAGACAGTCATTCTCAGACAACACTTTGAGACGAGATAAACCACCATCAATCAGATTACGTTTAATCTTTTGATGTCAGACTTCAAACAAGTGTTGCAGAGCAGATGCTATCTCTAATCACTCTCAAATGATAATGAAGTAATTCCACTGGAGACATCAATATGAAACAACATTTGTACAATTAGACATTTTTCTTATTTCAGTAAAATGTTGATTGCTATAATTTGACGAGGTCTTTTCTTTAATTAAGGTTAATATCATTTTAAAATAATTTACATTTTTAATTTAATATTGTTCAAAACATTACTTTGATTTTTTAGTCAGGTATATTTCTTACAACTCGGTCCAGTAGTTCATATTTGAATGAATTAGAAATAATTACAGATATTTATCTCTAATGGTAGAGAAAACCCCACTGAAATTTAAATCCATACAAAAAAAGAAGGTAACACTTTATTTGCAGGTGACGTAGTTACACGTTACTACAGTACACACTTACCATAGTAATAACAGAAAATTACAAGTAACTAACGCTATAAACCAAACCATAACTGCAACTCATATATGTAGTTAATTAATATTACTCAGGACTTATTTGATTAAGTACAATGTAACTACGTCACCTTAAAATAAAGTGTAACCAAAAAAGGATAAAAAATCCCAAGTGTTTAGACATACCAGATGTGTATTTCAGATTTGCAACATTATGGATTTTCCTCATAAGAACAGCATATGAGAAAAGAAGGAATCAGTACATGTTCCATTTTTAAGTCCTTTAGTTAAGGTTGTTGGTTTGCAGATGACTGCTATAAAACGAAGCTGTTGAGAATGCTAACATCAAACATCTCCAGAGATGGGATCTTGTTTACTGGTGATTGTTGTCCTGATCTAATTGCTGTGTGGATATAATTGTTTCAGTCCCCTGACTCCTAACCTAAGTTATTTCCTTTATAAATACTGAACGCCTCCTTAAAACTAAAAATAACAGCTGTAAAAAAATAATGCTAAATGCTCAAATCAAAGTCTGAGATTTATGTATCTTTTAATTCTAAATGACCGATATATCACGTTATACACTACTGTTCAAAAGTTTGAGGTCGTTAAGATGTTTTCTTTGTTTTCAATGTTCTAAGTCTCTTCTGCTCACCAAGGCTGCGTTCATTTAATCAAAAATACAGTGCAAACAGTAATATTGTGAAATATGATCACGATTTAAAATAACTGCTTTCTGTTTTAATATTTTAAAATGAAATTTATTCTTGTGATACAAAGCTGAATTTTCAGCATCATTCCTCCAGTCTTCAGAGTATCCTTCAGGAATCATTCTATTATGCTGATTTTAGCACTCATGAAACATTTATCAATGTTTTTAAAGGATTATTTGATGAATTTGAACGTTCAAAAGAACAGCATTTATTTGAAATTAAAATATTGTAACATTATATTTACTGTCTTACTGTATTGGCCTTAATGAATAAAAGTATTGTTTCATTTTAAAATAAATCTTTCTGACCACAAATATTTGAACTGTGTTGTATGCCATAGGTACATACATGCACACTATATTGGACAGCATGTACTCAAGATGTTATGAATTCCACAAGTCTGTATGATCCATGTTGTCCAGCATATATTTGAGATTATAATAACAATAATAAAATCCTAAAACTTCCTGTTGATTTCCAGGTTCAATAAAAAGATTTTCAATATGGTCTCAGACTTTTGGACCCAGCTAATATAGGCTATATTAGTCTACCCGAACTGCAGCTCAGGACAACAGCACAAACACAAATATAGCATGGACGCCCCCTGCTGGTCTATTGGCCAAACTCACCAGCCACCCTACATAAGCAGCTATAGGCCAAAATTACCAAGTCATGATCCACTTTTGCACTCCTAATTTTAAGACCTTTGTGTTCTTTGTTCTCCTCATATGCATAAGGAACACAGCCTCCAATGAATTACATTATTGTGAAACACTGTTAATTAATTAGCATTTGATGTAGCGCAAGGTCTCACTTAGGAGATATAAAACATTGCTCAGTGCTGCCTAAACTAAAGCCAGACTTTTCATCCGTCTTTCATGGGGACTGTTCACT